CCTTTTCTTGGGGGCTAAATACCGCACATGTTGTATCCATGGAGCGGGAGCTATTCGGGTGACCATCCATAGTATAACTGAGTAAGTCCCTAAGGTCGAGGGCATCAGGAATCTGTGATCACAGTACTACAGTGAGAGTGGCTACGTGCAGTGAGCACATGTGTGTTTGTGTAAATGTGTGGATTTGTAATTGGTGCAGTGAGTGCACCTATGGTGATTAAGAATTTGGATGCATGATGGTCGTTGACATATGCTCCTAATATGATTAGAATTTATGTATAATGAGTCAGGTGAGTCTAATGCTTGTCGGTGTGTTTATACTAGTGTAAAGAACTCATCTTTACGTTTATTTTTCAAGTAACCAAGACAATCAGCACCGAAACCCCTGAAGGAAGAAAGGAAGGATGAAACTGCTATAAGACTTAGAAATTTATTTTTAAAATATAATGTATATTTAAATCCTGTAGCGAGTAATGATGCAAATTGTACTTTAATTTCTTATTTGAAAGATTTTATGAAATTGTGCTTGTACAATTATCTGAATGGGAAATTTTTACTACTCCGAATTTTGCTAAAACTTATTTAGTCAGAAATTTGAAATTAAGGTGTTACATGACTAGCCTGATTTTGGCATTTTTGGACAGGCCTATTATACACAACCTTTTTTTTTGTAATTTAGTCTCTATAGGTAAAAAATTGTATTTTAGTCCTTAAATAGAAATTTATTTTCAATTTGTCCCAATCATTATAGTGATATTATTATATTAGTGTCAAGTGACATTTTTTTTCATAATCTTCATAAGTGTATTCCAAATTTTCATCATCTTCCGAAAAGTATTTTAAATTCCTCAAATAAGTCTCCTATTTTGCTTCATATTTTGATTTGTTTATGCATGAACATCACATATATTATTTTTATTTCCAATATCACTAGTTGTATGCTCCATCATATTTTATCATAATCATCATCTATTCTCCTATCATACTTGTCTTAATTTAGTCTTTATAGGCATCATATTCTGCTTTATTTGTTTACGTCCAATTTCATGTCTTAATTCATCTTTACATGAATATCATGTCTATCATTTTCATCTTCCATATCACTATTTGTATGCTCCATCATATACATTTGTAAAAAAATAAAAATCACTCTTTAAATCATTACTATCATCATTATTTGTGTGTATTTCTATAACCATATATTGATTATCTTAAAAAATAAACATTTGGATAAGGATGATACAATAAGGGATAAGGATTATTATGAAAATACGATGAAGAAGACAAGTATTGATATTTAAGATGAAAATACTAGAGGTGTTGCCCATATAAAGACAAATTAAGAAATAAAGTCTTTTTAGGCCACATGTTTGAAATAAAGTGACGCTAACTTATAAAGTTCAAAATCATGAATTGAAAATGTATGAAACGAAATATGAAGTTTCTTTAGACTATGTTTGGTTGTCGTCATGTTTAAGAGGAGAGGAGGGGAGAGAGAAGGGGAAGGGAAGAGTTAGTGGAGTTTACCCCTTGTTTGAAAGTTAATTAATTAGAAGGGAAAACATTAAATGGTTTTTTCTGAACCCTCTACAACACTTCTAATGTTGGTCTTTTGAGTTTTCTACCCATTTCGTAGGTTTTTCTCTCTCCCACTCTCTTCTCTCTCGTGCTCTTTCACGCTTAAGATTTTATTTTTTTAATTATTAATTTTTAAAGTGAGAATTTTCTTTGAAAGTTTATAAAAAATAAAAAAAATATTAATTTTTAGAGAGAGAAAAATATTTAATTTTTAGTATTTTTTTGAAAATATAAATAAAAAATATAAATTACATGATTAAACTCTCGTCACATTCCCTTTCAATATTAAACATCCAATCAAGAGGAGAATTTAATCTTCCTTCCTCCTTCAAACCATTTTCTTTCCTCCTCCTCCAAACATTCAAAATAAACTTTAAGAATTTGGAATAGTCCTTTGAACATGATAAAAAATGTTATTTGATACTATTATAAAAATGTTACTTGAATGATAGAAATGAAATTGAAAATAAATTTTCATACAGAGATTGATATGAAAAAAAAAAATACCTATAAAAACTAAATTATAAAAAGTTATCTTGTAGAAACTAAAAAACAATTTAAATATATCACTTTAAATTGTCATTTGCCACATAAAAGAAAGAACTAACAATGTTATGATATATCGAAATGACATTAACAAAAGTGAAAATAAACTTTTGAATTCAAATTAATACACAAATTTTTTATTTATAAAAATAAATTAAAAAATGTGTCAGACTAAAATATCATTTATCGTTTATTTATAATTAAGTTCCTAATTGCTGATTCAACATGCACTATTTCATGATAAAGATGGGGCATGATTCATGCAAAATTTTTGGTTGCTTAGGATGGAAAATTATTTTCTACAGTAACTGCAAGCTATAGTAAAATTTTACAGAGACACAGTTACTTAAAAGAATTACTTTTCACTTAAACAAAAATACAAAAAACAACTATCCGCCCCCTTCATTTACATTTCTTGCAAAGGATCCATGTTCCCTTGGGATATGCTTCTAGAATTGTTGCATATTTAGAAACGGGTAAACCCCACTTGAGCCCCTGAAATATATAACTTGTCTATAGTTAGTCCCTTAAATTTTAAATTTTAGCCCCTAAGATTAACAATTATTAATCACATTAGTCCTTACCATAAAGAGACGTTAAAATTGAGTAATAAAATAATAATTTATTACATTAAGTGACACACGACAGTAACACAAAACGATGTCATTTTAGCATCTTCCAAAAATAGATCATTTTCATCCTGAATTTTAACATTTATGGACAATAAGGTCCTTCCTCATCTTTTACTTCTCCTTCTTCCCTTAGCGACTGGTGCAATAGATTGTCAGGTGTAGGAACAATAAAACTAGCATTTCCATCAACATGTTTAAGAAAAACTACAATAATCTATTCCTTGTTAGCCTAAAAGATGTTTTGAACTCTAGAGAAATCATTGTAAGGGGTTATGAGGGTTTCATAATTGACAACTTTTGCAAGAACCCACTGTTGTTAATGTCCTACATATGAGACCTCTTCACTAAATCAATAACAATTGGTTGTCCACTCACATATTTAAGGTTTGGATCTGGCGGTTCAAGTGAAAAAACTCAAGATGAAGGAGTACTATGAACATCATATCAATGGTCAGAAGAAGGAAGAAGATTCCATAAAAGAAGAAGTAAAAGACGAGAAAGGACCTTATTGTCCAAAAATGTTAAAAATTCAAAGACAGAAATGATATATTTTTTGAAGATTTTAAAATGACATTGTTTTGTACCACTACCACGTGTTACTTAACATAACAAATCATCATTTTGTTACTCAATTTTAACATTTTTTGAAGGTAGGGATTAATGTGATTGACAATTGTTAATTTTAAGGACTAAAATTTAAAATTCAAAATGTAAGGGATTATTTTGACTTACGCTGCATATTTCAGGGACTAAAGTAAAGGTTTACTCATTTAGAAACTATCCAATGAAGCCTTGAGGAAACTTGGAAAGCAGGCTTTTTGGAAGGTTCAGTTGGAATTCACGGATTCTTCAGAAAGCTTTCAAAAGATACTTGGAAGTGATAATGGTTTCGAGCCACTTTCTATCTTTAACAAAGACAAGTATAGTTATCAATAAAATTTTCAACAACTTGTAAATTGAAATATTATATAAATTTTGTATCATATATTATATTTTAATTGAATTCAAATATGAATTTAATATATTGACATATAATCATTTATTATTATAAATTGTCTTATAAAGGGTTTTTTTTAGTCAAAATAGGGTAGAAACAAAAAAATTACTAAAATAGAGTATTTACGAAACATTTTCTCTATATAAAGTTTTTTCTGTCACGTCATTGCAAGTGTCGATACTCTTTTTTATTATTAAAAAAAATAAATTTAATGATTATTGGATTGAAAGATAACAACACAGGTATTAAATGTTCCTAATATATTTTGCATTGTATCTTATTTTAGATATGAATTCTAAATGAAGGATATGGAACTCTTAAAAATTTGGACCTAAGGGTAACTTGCATGAAATAAGATGCTCAAATAGGTTGTTTTAGAAAAGATAATAAAAGACTTGAACTTCAAAATACATAATTTGACACCGTCTAGATTGGTTTATCAGTTATTACCTCTTTCCTGTGAAAGAAGTACAATATTCATACTCAACAAAACTTGTTAAAAAAATAACATTTTTTTCTTGGTAATGATAAGGTAGTTCTAGAACAAGGAATAAAAGTACCACTACCCAATTGGCCAAAAGACTAAAAAAAGAGAGAGATACAACATGATGTATTAAAAATTATATTTGAAAATCTTTAATACCTCTACTGTTATCTTTCAATCTAATAATTATTAACTTTATTTTTTTATAATAATAAAAAAGTGTTAGCTTTACATAGCTAGCATTGGCTATATAAAGATTGACATTCTTATTTTATTATTTAAAAATAAATGTTAGTCTTGTAAAGTCCAAAACTTGCATGAAACTTATAAAAACGTGACAAAAAAATTTGAAACAGAACAAATGTTTAACGAGTACTTTATTTCGGTAATTTTTTAATTTTTACTTTATTTTGACAAAAAAAACTCTCTTATGAACAAGAATTTAACTTTTGTGATAATCAATATAAATCATTTATTTTAATTAGTTGATATTGTAAGATTTTTTACATTCATAACCCAAAATCAAACTCTTAATATATAATTCTAAAAGTATGTAAATGTTTTTTAGTGGATAGCATATAGTATTTTTCGTACACAATTTCTCACGTGAAAAAGTTTTTGGGTATCTTAAGTCCATGGATTTAAAATAGGGCCGAATCGTTTCCCTTGCTTCCGAACTAAACCCGGCCCATATGCTGAGCCCAGATCAGGAGGACGAAATATCAAAGCAAAAGGAGTAAAAAACCCTAGCATTCTTATAGAGGGCAGTGGCATATCATATCTCAGGTGCAGCAGTGGCATATCATATCTCAGGTGCAGCAGTGGCAGCGTCGTCCGAGACCAGAAGCAGCAATGGTTCTTTCTTTCTCTTACACTTCTTCTTCTACTTCTATAGGAGAAAGCTTCTCCTGTTTCTTACGAATTGTCATTTGAATTCACACACAGGGAATCGATCTCAAAGCCGGAGGTAAGAGCAAAAAGACGAAGAGAACAGCACCAAAGTCCAATGATATCTATCTCAAACTCTTGGTCAAGGTCCGTTTCACGTTACTTCAATTGCGCCTTTTTCATTGTTTATTTTTTGTGGTCGATGATGATAAATGTGATCCCAGCTCATTATGAGGCCTTCACCATTGCAAGGTCTGGGAATAGATTTTTCCACATTTGTCTGAGCCGCTTGCTTTCATTGTTAACGAAGTCGTTTACTTTTTGTTTTAATTTTCGATTATCTGAGGTGTGTAATGATATTAAAACAAATTAAGTGCGTTTTATTTAACTTTTCTTTTTTCTTTTTTTTTTAGTGAAACTGCAATTCTTCTTTGTTGTATGCTTTGTTACTATTACGTTAGTGCAGATCCGCTGTAACCTACGAGATTAATTGATTCAATGTTAAGTACTTGAAAACTGTGGTTCATTTATTGAATTTTAACGTCGTTATTTTAAACTCAAAATTTGTTTGAGTGATATGTAGTTTTAATGACAATTTTGTGTTTAATAGGAGAAAAAGTTCCCAATGATGCCTTTTTAAAACCATGCTAATGCTGATAAAAGATGATTGATTTTTTCAGTTTATTATATACTGAGGGAACTATTTCTCTATTTCATCGTTAGTTCGTTACTTCACATTTTGATGTACAAGTTTACTCATTTTCGTGGAGATACCTTCCATTTGTTTCAGAAGTATTGGTTCTCAAATATTTCTTTTTTCTCATTTGTCTTGCGTTAATACTTATTTGAATGTATGTTTATGTAATTTATTTCTCTGTTTATGCTTTGAGTTATTCTGATTAATTTTTACGTGATCAGCTTTATCGCTTCCTTGTTCGGAGAACTGGCAGCAATTTCAATGCTGTAATTCTCAAGCGGTTGTTCATGAGCAAGGTTAACAAGCCTCCACTATCTTTGTCAAGGTTGATTAAGTATATGAAGGGAAAGGTTTGTCTTATTTTTCTTATTTTGTATATTTTCACAGTAACTTTTGTAGTTTGATTTATTACCATTTCCATGGGTTTAATTTTTAATTTTACCTGTGTAGGAAGATAAGATTGCTGTGGTGGTGGGGACTATAACTGATGATATTCGTGCTTATGAAGTTCCATCCTTAAAAGTAACCGCACTCAGGTTTACTGAGACTGCACGTGCAAGAATAGAAAAGGCAGGTGGTGAATGCTTGACATTTGATCAGTTGGCTCTTAGGGCCCCTCTGGGACAGAACACGGTATGTGCAGATTCCACTACAGACTTCTCTCATTTTCTGAATGATTAACTCTATTGAGTTGCTGGTTTGTTGTTTAATAATTGAAGTTTAAAGTGTATTCAGCCTATCTCTGTATCATGAGTTCACAGTTTGGTCTCTCCTTTATAAACTTTCAACGTAACCCTCTTAATTTCTTTCTTTCTTATATTGTGCGGAGTGCCTCTCATTTTATCTTTTGTTTAGGTTTAATTAATTTTTGCTTATTCATTTGGCTTTTTTAAATATCACAATTTTTTCATATTATCTTTCATTTTTAAGTGACACATAGATACCATATGGGCAAAGGAAAATTTTACATGGACTAGACTAAACATTTTTTTTTTAAATTGCAGGACCAAATGGGAAACTAGACTAGTGATATTTAGAAAACCAATAACATTTAAGCCTAGAATTTGTTCTGTCATTGATAACTCAACATGCTTTTGATTGAAGCTTTTAGATTATGGAACCTGTTGTCTCTCTAGCCCCTAGCTAAGGAACTGCCACCATCTTATTGCAGTAATTTAGTTCAAACATTCAATTACTGGATCTATGGAATCTGTGCTTAATATTAATCAATTTTGACCAGTTGTACTTTGGATTCTTTGTGCTAGCTGAAAGATTTCTAGTCTGTCTGCACATATTTTGTTTGGTTAGCTGTATGTGATTTGTGTAAATATTGTGGATTTGTGTGTATTTTAATAGAAAGAACGTGGATATACTGAGGTTATAGGTTTTCTGGATGTGGTTATTTAAAAGTTTTTTGGATGCAGGTTCTTCTTAGAGGCCCAAAGAATGCACGTGAAGCTGTGAAGCACTTTGGTCCTGCTCCTGGTGTGCCTCATAGCCACACCAAGCCTTATGTTCGTTCCAAGGGAAGGAAGTTTGAGAGGGCTAGAGGAAAGAGGAACAGCCGAGGATTTAGGGTTTGATGAGATAGTATCCTTTTCTCTGCTGTTATTATTAATTAGACGGTGAAGGCAGTTTTCACTTTATTTCTTGTATTCTGATAATGATTTTCAGCATGAAGTTTTCATTCTTGGCTCCTTTATTATCCATTATGTTTTGTGGAACTTCAACTCAGTTTTGATGCTAGAAAACGGATAATCGTTAATTATGTGATGCATGTTTGTGCTTTTTAATGCAAAACTCTCTAATACTGAGTCACCAGTCTGATACGCGGCTCGGCCGCAGTTAAAGTGCTCATTCTTGATCTAATTTAAAAGGGTTTTGATGGGCTAAGAATAAATTTATAATAGTAAAATTTTATTGAAAAGGGTAGTTATTGCACTTTTATAATTTTAATATAATAAGTAGATATGTTCTTTTATAAAGAATTTTATTTATGGATGCTTAAAATTAACAATTTAATTTAAAATGTCTGAAAATGATGATGTACAAGGGCAATTCACGCTGCTGAATAGTCATTTTTCATTATTGCTCAACATAAATTGACTTCAGACGTGTTTGGAATTGGAATTGCGCTAATTCAAGCGTAGACATGAAATCATTGAGGGATAGACATGTTTTAGCTTTCAGACGTGATTTCAAACATTCGTATCACACTCTTAAATGGGCAAATTAATTCCATGAAAATTGACATGACATTAAGCAATACAAGCTATGAAGCTTGTAAATTTTGCTGGCGTTTTTATTTTTTTATAAGTTTTTTTTTTCAAATTGTATAAATTTAGTTTTTTTGTTCACTTAAATATTTAAACTCTTATTTTTTAAAATATTAAATTAAATTGAAATAATTAAATTATTTTAAATTTTCAAAACATTTCAATTTAAACATCAAAATTTGATAAAAATATTTTTTAAACATAAATAACACGTCTTAATTTTTCTAAAGCTTTACAGAATTTTATTAATTTTAACATTTAAATTATATAGATATAAAATAAGTTTAAAGTTAATTAAAGTTAAGTTTAATTATATTTTTAGTCTTTATAAATATAATTTTTTTTGTAATTAGTTTCTACAAATATTTTTATTAGAGAGTGATCCTTCTAATATTAGTAATTTAGAATTTGATATTTGTTCTGAAATCAATTATTTACGTGACTTTTTCTATTTTTTTAATTTAAAATTATATAATTATAAATAAATTTTTAATTATAATTTTTTATAATTACATTAAAGTCTTTTAATTTTTTTTCTTTCTTCTTGTCTGTTTTTTTCTTCTCCTCTCCTACAACTCAGATCCAGTTCTCTCCCCATCTTCAACAAGCCAGCCTTGTTGTCCGCAAACACTGTTCCCCTTCTTAAGGCCTCATCATCACAGTCCTTCATTGAATCCTTGAAGGAACCACCAAATTCAAATGAGCACCAGCCTTCAAAATCTCCCCCTTAACAAGGGGTGTCTCAAAATTGGTGGCACAGCTCACAATATTCCAAAGCCCAACAACCTCATCTAAACACTCACAACCCTCAAAGCTCAACTCTGACCCTCACATGCCATCACAAAATCATGCCTGCGGGACTCATATTATCTTGCATCCCCTCCCTGTTAGACAAATTATTCGGTAAATTTTTAAAAATAAAACATTTTAAATAATAAATTACGTATATGTCTTAAAAAAATATTTATACATAGATATTCTGAATTAAATTACATAGAAGTTGATTAAAATAAATTTTACACACGTATATAGAAATTGATTATAATCATTTTTTATAATGCAATAAAAAAATTGATTATAATAAACTTTTGTCAACTTTAATGTTAAAAGAAAGTTAATTATAATTATTTTTTACAATGCTTTCAGTATTATAATCAACTTCTGCACACCAAATTTCCACTCTTTGTAGGTCCTTGTACCAGTTGTGATTCTAGTACCATTATTGCTTTCTTAATCAATTTTATTTGCTCCTCAGTCAGAACCTCCATCACCGCCCACGTCTCTCCATTCTCCTCCTGAAGTTCAAATCCAATGAAGCTCAGCAACTCAGCTCCACCAGTAACCTCACCAACAGTCTCTTTTATCTTAGGATTATTCATCCTAAAGACGTCTTTCCATTTATTCTTTTCTATGGGTTGCCCTTCCCGCTAAATTGGCTAACAGTATTTTCTGGCCTTGTTGTGAAATGTTTCAATAGCCAGCTTTGAGGGATCTTCATATTTGTGACTTTCATCTCCATCCCCAAGTTTGTTCCTTCATTTCTGTAAATTTGCCACTATTTCTTTTTTAATTATCTGACAATACTAAAATCTTTTTAATTGATGTATTTTGTATAATTTTCTATTATTACTATTGGAAAATCATAATCATTGATGTACTTCTTTTTATTTGGCAGAATTATTCGAGATATAATTCAAAACCATCTGCTGCAGGTGGGGCCTTCATTTTAAACTGAAATTGCTTTCATATTTTTTTGACATTGACATCTATCCCACTTTCTGGTTGATATAACAATTGCAGGTTCTTAAGTACTTCTAATTAAAGACGATGAAGTTGTTCTTGGACAATATGAAGGCTATAGAGATGATCCAACGTACCTGACCATTCAAACACTCCTACCTTTGCAATTGTTATTCTGCGAGTACACAATGAAAGATGGGAGGGTATGCGAAAAACTCCAGCAATCTTTTTCCAAACAACAAATTTGTATTGTGGGTTCAGGGCAGGCTATAGGGGAATTTGTCAGACCTCCCTTTGATTTATTTGAGTTGAATGTTTGGAATATAATAGTTTATTCCGTCTGGTTATTTACTTCTTCTTTTTTCTGTGTGTATTATTTTTAATTGTTTGTTATATATTTTTGTGCATTTGATCAATTAAATCACAATTGAGACATTTTCATACCAATTTCCTTTATGCTGTTAGGAGTTCCTTTCATTTTACTTTACTGAAATTATTATAATCGACTTTTTTTATTACATTGTAAAAAATATTATAATTGACTTATTTATATGTGTGTAAAATTTATTTTAATCGATTTCCATATAATTCAATTTAAGATATTTATGTACAATTTTTTTTTAAGACATACATAATTTACTATTTAAAATGTTTTATTTTTGTAAATTTGTCCAAATTATTCAATTGAAGAAAAAGGAAAAGAAAATCACAAAACCCGTTTTTCACATTTTTCTTCCGTCCAAAATCAGCCTTTCCAAAGCAAAGCAGGAGAATAATGATTAATGAAAGTGTGCTAATGATATTAAAAATGCATAATTGTAACTTTTGGGGGCAAAAGAAGAGCTTGAAACGTGCTCACCAAGCAGAGACATGAGAAAAAATTATAAAAAGAATACAACGAAGGATTTGAATTTTTAGACAGGAGGAAGAACATTGTAGCAAAGGAGGTAATGCTCTGAAATGTACAAAAAGTCATAATATGCCACTTGTTTCATAAATAGAAAGCAAAATACTTTGCGAGAGATTCAATAGTTTCTTTTTTAATGGTTTTTTGGAGAGTGCACTGTGCATTTGGTGTAGGAAACTGTGGTTTTTAGTTGTATGAGGTGAACGAGAAGCTAAGTTAGGTTTTTGGATTGGGGTTTAAAGGATTTAGGGTTTGTGCCGTTTGAATTTTGAGGATGAATCGTGGTTTCACTGTGTGTTTATTATTGCAAACGTGGAGTGGTTGTCGTGTTTATTACTGCCAAGCCATGAATCTGAATGAACATTGATCAATTAGAAAGGGTTTCTGGGAAAGAATAAGGGGTGAAGGAAGAAGGAGGAGTGAAGAAAGAAGAAAGTATTTTTATGCAATTAAATAAAATAGATTTAAAAGATTTATCTGTAAATTTTAATTTTAAATAAAAAATAATAAATAATATGAGATATCATGTAAGCTGTAATTGGACATTAAAATGGCCATGTAACGTCACATAGAATGTTGAGCTAACAGTTCAATACTTACCAGGAACAGTTAACGATTTAGAACTAATTTTTAAGTTATCTATTTTAAAATAATTACTTCTTAACAAAAATATTTATAAAAATTAATTACAAAATGATCTATATTTATAAAGAAAAAAATATAATTAAGCCTTAAAATTAATAGAGAGAAGTTTAAAGTTACATAATTTTAAAAGTATAGATTTAGTTAACTTTAAAAAAATAACAATAAATCAAATTTACACACCGGCGAAACGTACTAACACTAAAATTATAATTAAACCTTTTGTATAATATGTTTCTCAAACAATAGTCAACTGGAAAACTTTGTTCTAGATTTTAACAATGGTCACTTTGCGTTCATTATTCGAGTTTACTTGAACACTAATTGCGAGTTTATCCTGTTTTTACAACATTGTGGTTTTGTTTTTTTTTTTTGTGTTAGACAAGTGCTATATGAAACTAGAAGTTACTTTAAACTCAAATGTTTTCTTTTAATAACAAAATGGAGTTAAATAAATATATCAATAAATTTGAGGACTTGAATCATTAATTTTAAGGCCAAATAAATGTAGACAGTTTATCTCGGTCCAATCAAATATGGGTTATAATGATGTTTATCTTTATTTAACATTTTAATTTAAAATGTAACTTTAATTCAATGATTTCATCTTTATTGTAAAAAATAATTTGTCATGAGCCACGTGCATAGGCCATTTGTGTAATATTATTTAAAATACTATAAGAGGTACGAGTGCAAAAAAGATTACTACAGTCAGCGTGTGTTTGAATCAATCTTTATAAACTTAAGTTTGAATCAATTTAATTTTGTAGAATTGATTTTCTTTAATAGTGAATTTCAACTAATATAATTTTTGTTTTTTCTTTTAAAAATAAATTTATACTAAAATATAATATAAATTTTTTAACTCTGCAAAAATTATAATTTATTATATTTACTTAAACGTCTAACGAGTCGTAATCAATTTTGGCCCATCCCTATTTAAGTAATCTTTAATTTCATATAAAATTAATTACAATAAATTATATATACATACACATAATTATTAATCTTAATTAAGAAAATTTAATTTTTTAAAAAATTATTGATACAAATGTCAATTTAATTAATTTATATTTACCCATCTTACATACAAATGTAACTTTTATTACAACGAATTATATATACATACCCTACGTACAAATACCTATTACGTCATCTTAATTAAAAAACTATAATTATTAACAAATTTATTAATACAAATCATTACTAAATAACATCAATTATATTTTACATACTTTCAATACATATAATTTTTCATAATATGTTATAATGAATTTAGTGATATTGTGTAAATATCAATTAATATAATTAAACTAAATATAATTAATTATTGTTATAATTTTTTAACTAAATATAATCCAACTATTCTTTAAATCCTAAGAAATTTAAATTATATAATATTCAACGTAATACTAATAACATTCTCGATGAAATACATTCATCTTAATAATAATAATAATAATATCAATAATATGAATATTAATGATTATTCTTAAATTTACTTACATTTGCTACTTAAAAAAAATTTAAAATCAAATATCAAATGCGTATTGTTCTTTATACTATGCAAAAGAGCAACTAAATAATATCAACAAATTCTAATTTTTCTATATAATATTTGTCAGTAAACTATTTTACAACCTATTTTTTTAACTAAACTAATTTAACAATTATCCTAAATCTAAATACATAATTTACATTAAAATATAAAAAATGTAAAATCATTTACTTTTTTCTAAAGAATAACACTTTTTTGCGGATGAGCACTCCCGAAAAAAGCCACGGTTTTTTTTTCAACCTGCAATATAAATAAATTACATTTTTATTATATTTTTTTAGAAAATCTAAATGACAAAAAAATTAACAAAATAAAATATCAAAATACATACAAAATGATTAATGCCTCAACTAATAAGTAAAAAATAGCAAAAATTAATACATACTGTGAGCAACTAAAAAATAGAGAAAAAAAGAAACACAAGTAAAAGAAGACGTATACGTGGGAGGAAGAGGGGAGGGAAAAGGGAGCAGTGGAGTGACTGTTACCGCAAACCCAATTTACATAAACGCGTTATGAGTAGCGGCCTCAGCCAACTGGTAATCGAAATTAACAGTTAATTTATACCAATTGAATATTAAGGGATGGTACTGTGTGAGACTTGGCCTTGTTGTTTTATGGACTTCAAATTTGCAATTCCCATTCAACATTCAATTGAGAAAATGTTTAGGAACATTTAGGAGAAGCCACCGCATGGTATCCCCACGTGTTTTAACTCAAAATGTAAACATAGGGTGTTCAAATAACTAAATGTTCGACGATAATGGCACAAAAGAGCGTAGAAATGGAGCTTGAAACAAACGAGCTTGCAAACTTGGACAAGAGAATAGCGCGGGGTGATCAAATTTTATTCCTCAACGTCAGAGGAGTGGCTCCACTCTTAAGCTGCGAATCAAGTGATTGATTATCAGAATTTGTTAATGAAATCATAGATATGTTTGCTGACGTCATCTGCTGCTTCTTGGTTGTTGAAGTGTGCCACCCCTTCCTGCACCACCACCTCCTCCAACGATGGCACATTTTTCTTGAAACCACCGTTGTGGATATACTCCTTCATCCCTGAGGATGTGTATACCAAGTCAACACTCCCAGTAATGAACTTTACAGGCACACCCACGATTCCTACTCCTGTCCATGCTGCTGTCAGCTCCCAATTCCTGCAAAGCATTCAATATTCTGTTTACCATTCCTTTTAACTCTTTTTAGGCTGTTTCTAATTTAATTCTAAGGATCTTCAAAACATAAATTTGAAGGAGTTGAAATGAAAAGAAGAACCCCCGTCAATTATTGGAACGACCTCTAAAGATTTATTGATACAAATTCTTGGCGGTCCTGTCTGTCTACTCATAAGATTGAGGGACCGCAAAAACAAATCTCGTGGGACTTACCAAATATCTTTTCCCTTCTTCAAGCGGAGAAAATTGAGGGGAAAGATAATTTTTTTAATATTCCACCAGACCCTCTTTTTCTCTACCTAATGCTATATCGTATAGTTTATTTATTTTAAAGATTGTCTTTTCATGAAAAGGTTGCTTTTTTCGTTTTCTTTCTTCATACTTTATGTCAAATGATTTCAGAAAATTGTTATTTTTATCTAAATTAACTTTCCCTCTCTTGTCTTTTTCAAAGAACAAAACAAAGTGCAGAAAGAAAAAAGGAACTGACAAGTCGAGATTTCTGTAGTAGTTCAAGCCTCCAGTGAAGCCGGTCTTCTGAAATTTGGAAGCATAATAAAGAAGATCTTGTTGGGAGAGCCAAGATGGCAAGGTTTCAGGAGTATCGGGGTTAAATCCAGTTCCATACTCCCCTTTTGGAAATATTGGAGGACCGGTTTTGCGCGTCGTAAGTATGTTCTTCAACAAGTATGTTGTGTCAACACGAGCCAGCTCAGCTTCCATCTTCCCCGGTTCCTGTTCACAACGTTATTTTAATGCAAATCACAGTGACCTCAACAGGTTTATATAAGTCAACTGTTATATTCTTTTTATTTTATCATCATAACAACTTTATGTTACAATCTATATATGGCGAAATAACAGAATGGTTTGTTGAATCAGTATCTGATTAATCTGCTGTTTGTCCATAATATACTCAGATCTGGAATTATAATTCACATTCACAATCAGCTGTAAAAATCCAGGTGCACCACATAAACCTTTCTAGCTACACGTTTATCAGATTCATAAAAGAATTTTTTATATATAAAATAATTTTTTATTGAAATTTATAAAATTTAATATGTTAATATTATTAAATATTATAATTTATAATAAGCAATATTTATTAATTTATTATCCTACGTAAACTTATAAAAAAAAATTGAAGTAATGATTAACAGCAAAAAATTAAAAATATCTAAAAAAAGAGAATCGCAGATGTAAATTATTAAGACTTTTTAAATAAATTACTTAAATTTAAAGGTCGGTATTTTCTAATCCTAAGTATTGAATCTGGCTTGGACTCAAACTTGTAATAAAGTTATGAGATTTTGGTATTTACCTGAAATCTGCATATGTAGTAGTCATCTCCGTACAAGTCGCGAAAAGCATCAACGGTTTTCTTGCGAGGGTTTCTTCCGAGGAAGGGTCGGAAGGGGACACTGAGGCAAACGTAGGCTTTGATTCTGTCTGGTCGGAACAAACAGAGATACCAACCGATGATGGCACCCCAATCATGAGCTACCAGAAACACTTTGTCGACACCAAGAGAGTCTATGAGTGCAACTACGTCACCAACAAGGTGAAAGCAGGTGTAGCTTGTAACCGAAGCAGGAGCTTCGGTGTCACCGTAACCTCGGAGATCGGGTGCGACGGCACGGTAACCGAGGGAGCTGAGAGAGAGAATCTGGTGGCGCCAAGAGTACCAGAGTTCGGGGAAGCCGTGCAAGAACAAGACCACTGGTCCTTCTCCTTTCTCTGCGACGTGCATCTTTATGCCATTCACTTCCACCGTTCTGTGTTCTATGCTCTCCATTCGCTCTGTATCTCTCTTTCTCTTTCTCTCACTTTCACTCTGCAATTGAAGAATCCCCACGCAATTACTTCATTCTATATTAGAGGTGGGCGGCTATTTTTTTAATGAGAAAAACAAAGGTGCACCGTTTACAATTCACTAAACTCTCATTTTATTCTATTTAAATTTTTGTTTAACATTTTAATCAGTTAAGTTTAGACATATGTTAATAAATTATAACATAACGTTAAAGTAATATTTATAATATATGATAAAAATATATTGATATGATATATAGTTTTATTTTTTAAAAATTATTATAAAATATTTTAATCTCTAAAATTATTGTAGATAAATATTTTTAAAATTTTATATATATGTCTCTTTTTTTAATTCTTTATTTTTAGTATACTTGAAAATTGAAATCATATATAGACAGACGAATTTGATTCATTTATAATATAAATGGATATTTAAATTTTCTATATTACAGTCCGTTATTAGATGTGAAAATTATAGAAAGAATTATTGACAATTTTTTTGTAATCTAAAAATTAGCAAAAATTTTAGAGTGAGAGTTACTGATAAGAAAAATTTATCTATAAATATGACTATTTTAATTAATTTTTTATTTATTTATTTATAGACAAAAAAATCTGTCTGTAATTGTCTTTGGTAGATTAACAGACGAATAAATTTTTTTGTAATTAAACTTGTAAAATATACTATTTCACTAAACTATTTACAAACAGATTTTTTCATCTGTAACGAGCGAAACCTATTAAAATCGTGCCTCCTCCTTCTTTTTTCTCACTTTCCATTATTTCTTCTCTCTCATCTCCTTGTCTCTGTTTCTCTCTAGCATCATCAATTTTTTTTACCTTTATGAGTGGTTGGAACATCCATTTAGAAAATAATTTACATCATTGTGTTTCTGGTACGATACTTTAACTTTTAATCGGTTTAGTTTTTTAATTTTTGATATATAATAGAGACTTAAAATTTTCTAATATAGAGTTGTAGAATTGAAGATTGTATGTACTGAAGGGATTGTTTGTATTTGTGGAGATTGTAAAGTATGCATGTTGTGGAGTTACAAGGAGATAGAACGATTTAGGATTGTGATGTGTGTAACACCTAATTTCTATCAAGATTCCTTCTTATTATGTTGAAATTTAAGGCTTCTATAAAATGATGCAGCCAAGATAAACGTGTACGAGAACTCATGCAAATCAACATCATAGCGACTCTACTTACTAATTACAATCCATCTTACCAGGGAATAACTCCTACTTTCAATTCTCATGGTTCATTCAAAGGCACCTCCACGGATAGTCATAATAAAATCCCTTCTCATACTACTCAACCTAACCATGTCAATCCACAATATTCTCAATTTAACCATAATTCAGTTCATCACACAACTCAAATTAAATTGAAGAGATAATAAACGCAACAAAGCGACTCCATTGAATCCGTTCCTCACAAAATTATATACTTTAATTAATTCAGTATCTTAACAACATGCTTATCATTTTTGTTAATCATCCAAATTATTTGTAGATTGATTTTATAACAACAATATAGATAAACGCTTAGCATTGCACACCGATGGAAATAAAAGTCTGAAAGTATGACGAGAAGCATATAGATAAAAGAAAGTATATACATAAATCCTCCAGCCAATATGTCCAAGGAAAAAAAAATCACAGTAAAACAAAACCCCAAAGTTTAGTATTTCAAAGGGTAACGAAACAACCCAAAACCTATGAGCAGTGTTCATCCATGACAAAATAAAATAACAATATATAAATAAAACTCTAACGGAAAGGAATCCTCACTAGGGTCGGATTCCATTCCATTAGAGTCGGGAGAATCATCCGCTGGCTGAGGGCGAGGAGAGGGCGCCAAGTCATCCGGGTCGCTGTCAATCCAACCAATGGTAGGTGGTGGTGGTAAAGGGCGTTGGGTGGAAGGTCTAGCTTCATTGGAAGAGGGTGCCTGAATTTGTAGGGAGTGACGGGGTACTGGCCTGATGGAAGACTCAACAACTCTGATGTCTTTCCACTCAGGCATAGGAGTAGGGCTGGGACAGGGAGTAGGCTCTGGGTCGAGGTTAATGATGGTCTTACTTTTGTCAACAAAAGTTTTAAGTTGTTTGGCAGGGGGTTCTTGAGATGATAGAGAATGAGGGGGTGAATGAATAATGATACTTCATTCAGGTGGTAAGGGTACGGAGATATCAGCAAAAAGGTGGTCGCTCCAATTGGGCTTCCATCCATCTTTAATGAGAGGTCCCATGGTCATGGAGATCATCCCTTGGTACAGGAGGCGGCGCATTGCTGGACCGTACGTCCATGCCTCCTTTCCTCCAGAGTCCTCTCCCCAAATTATCGCTCGCTGTGGGTCCATCTGTCACACAATCATGCAATACATACAAAAGAAACAATACCAGGACAAAAACAGAAAGGGTGAGCTCCAATACAATTATACATCAGTAATTGAATAAGCAAGGTAATTGAAATAACATAAAAATATTCACAAAATCATATTCCAGTAAACACATAGTCTCAATTTGATATCCATTAGACAGCCGCAAAGCACAAGCAAAATCACAGAAATTCATCAACAATATGATTCAAACCAATGCAACTTAGGATATCCCTACTTCCTTAATTTTTCAACATTCCTCCAATCAAGGTGATCGGAGACCCTCATTCCCTATAAGCACATACTTTAAACAATATCCAGGGATATTTCCCCCCATTTTCATCTCTGTTCTTCAGGAATGAGTTCTTCAATGATCCTCAGCAATGCTTGATCACGTTAGGATTAGTGAAGGCTTTGATGACGAAGTGTCCTGGTCACAGTGAGTTACTCCGCGTCATTGGGGCAACCCCCCTTCACTACCCCCAAGGTTCTTCTCTTGAACCTGAACACTCTACATTCCCTAGTCGTGCCAAACTGTGATCTTGACTCTCCATCCTCCTCATCATGCATATGAACAGTTTCGTAATCACACCCGCACTTCATCATTTTTGGGTCGCACGTGTAATCCCAAAATCACAAATCACGGATTCAAATCACACTCAAAAGAGCTAACACATTCAAGGAAAGTTTGATCGGGTGCACACGGTCTAAGAGCAAAAGAAAAAGGAGGGAAGATGGAAATAATTGCAACAGTTTCAATAAAGTACCTAAATCAAAAATGTATTTTCTAAGTAAATGTTATTAGAGAAACCATAAAAATAATCGCAAACTCAATCCCTCATGCAAACCAATTTTTACCACAAAATTTTGTAAAATTACAGTTAAGTGGTGGAATAATTTTCTCATGGTTAAGGGAAAATGTTCATTGGCTCTCGGTCAGGCAAAATCAAAGGGGAAGGATGAGTTCTCTCTTTCATATACGTGTTTTTCATTTTTGAAGAGTGTGGAAGAAAGGAAATAAGTGTTTTCTTAATCAAAATGATCGAGAAAGGAGGCAGACAATAAGAACCAAAAAGAAAACGAAGGATCTATGTAAAAATTTAACATGCAATGACATATTCGTTCAAAGCCATCATTTTTATTCAATAATAAGTACAGACAACCAAGAATCATGTAAGGATTTCGATATCCACGACATGCAAAGCTATCTCAACCTCAATCAAGTACATGCAAGCCCCAAAGCATGGATTTTTACAACACCATCCAAACATAATTACCATGAGATGAAGGAAAATTGTTTGCATGCAAATTTTTGATGAAGGTCGGAGACAAAAAAATAAGAGGAGAAGAGTGCATGCAAGGTTTGCAAACCAACGAACAACCACACGCATTCAAACGCAAACAAGAACTCCCCTAACATGGTTTGGAATGAGAATGAAACAGAAATAGGAGGCTCGATCTTGACATTTGTAAGCACTTGTCCATGCGGTGGCTCCTTGGCAGTGGTGAGAACGTTGAGAAAGGTGAACGCAGGCGGTGTTAATGGTGGTTCGGTGCTCGTTGCCCCTTTTAAGAGGGTGGTGGAAAACGTTATCCACGAGAGAAGAGAGTAGAAGGCACAGTGAGAGTGAGTGGATGCTAAGAGAGAGGATTCGTGATAGGGTTGAGAGTGTTTTTGAAAGAAAGAGAGAAAAAAGTGTGTGGGAATAAAGGGTCTTTATATAGTGCGAGTACAAAGCCCATGTCCATTCATCTCCAAAGGGTGTGACGGTTAGGGTTAGGCAACTAAACAACATGGCTCTTGGTTTTCTTTTCCTGAACGGTCACGTCTCTAGGAAGCTCTCGGTCATGTGAAACGTCTCATCACAAGCCATAAATGCCATGAGGCAAAAATGAAGCAATAATTTATTGCACTGCACGTTTCAAAAATTTAATCATGATAGTGAGATATGGTGAATGGTGGGTCGTCCTTGGTAATAGTAAGTAATTAAGGCAGGTCGGCTGCGTAAATTTTCTGATGGAGGGAAGAGGTTCTAACTTTCCATATTTCAATCACCTGAAGGGTTGCGGCTCATAGTCTACTCGTGGAAGGGTGGTGCCTCCTCTCGTAGTTGTGGGCGTGTGAAAAGCCTCCATAATGATTAATAATTGTCATAAAACAAGAAACGAGAATATGAAATTAATGAAATGAAATTAAGGAAGGAATTAATGATTGACACGATTTTAGGGTTTTTAAATGCACTTGGTAATAACTTCTCACGTTGACTCATGTACTTGAATTGCAGGTGGCGGTTTCGAGTTCTTATAGGGAGGGAAATAAATTCAAACCCTTTTTGCATTCTATGTATTTGAAAGGTTGAGTCCTTTGAGTGGCTAGTGAAAGAGTAGTGCTTCCATTATGACCGTGCAAGTGTAAGATTCTCCACAAGAAAAGATAATTACAACAAATAAATGGAAGGGAATATGAATTTAATGCTGGGCACGGTTTAAGGGAAGTAAATACTCCAGGTGTGACGTTTTGTATTGATTGGCTCGCCCATTAAAAGTAGGCCGCGGGTTGGGCTATTTGAGGAGGGAATGGGGCAGGCGTCTCTTCACTT